ATTTTTTCCCTCGCAATGTTCGTTTGCGTTATTTAACTTCGTATGTCACAAACGGATCGTATGTCTATTAGGCACACCGATTTTGAAGGGCCCTAAATTCACATTAAAGATTAACGAAATAAAGAATAATGAAGAGGGAAAATTAGAGAATGTAAACATAAGCATTGAATTCATATTTTTGGATGCCGTCGGTCCTATAACACACCTGGCCGTGCCGACAAATTAGCATACTGCGCTAACTTGCGGTATTCAATTTGTCGGCACGGCCAGGTGTGTTATATAGTGGAGTGACAAGACCATCAGAAATTTGACTTTAATGTACCACCCTACCCTACGGCTGATTTGTACTTTTTTGGTCAGATATATTATCAAGCAATAATTTTTGCCCGGTCGTAGAAAATTCTATGGTCAAAATTTAAAATAAAAGGAGATCAAAGATCAATGAATGAAATCTGACCATAATATTGTACATATAAAGAAAAGTTGAAGGACTTCGTGAAAATAATGTATATTTGTATAGGAATTTTATTTATTCGGTGAATATATTGATTTCATGGAAAAGGAACGAAAAGTTGAATAAGCATGTCTGTTTGTCTGTCTGTAAAATGAAAGGTTTGTCTTATAGTATTTTTAGCTCTTCTGAGCCAAAGGCCCAAAGAGCTAATGCTATGGCCATTTGTGCGGTGTGCGGTGTGCGTCGTGCGGTGTGCGGTGTGCGTTAACTTTTTAGAAAATGGGCCATAACTCAAGAACGCCTTGGCCAATCAGTGTCAAATTTGTCACAGGGTATCCTTGGCCCAAGGGCTACCATTTATACTAAAATAAGGGTTGGGACCCTTAAACAAGGGGAGATAATCAGGAAAACAAAACCAAAAGTACTGGTTGCTAAAAAATCTTCTTCTCCAGAACCACCAGGCAGAATTTCACCAAACTTACACACAAGGATCAGAATATGTTGAAGATTAAAAATTGTTCAAGGCATGACCCTGGGGCAAAGGGCGTGGTCTCAAGGTCACTTCAATGTTGACCTAAATTTACAATTGATAAAAACGTTTATATTTTGCTTACTATAAGGATTAAGATCATCAAATCTTGTAAGTTGATGCATCTTAAGACTTCACATCATGTTAAATCAAAAGTAGGTCACCGTGACCTACTTTTTTAATTTTGCGGGCATTTGTTTTCAAATTGATTTGAAGGCATATTTTGGACACTTTAAGGCCTATGATCATCAAACTTTGTTAGTTGATGCATCTTGGGTCCTTGAACAACATCAACTTAAAAGTAGGTCACCTTGACCTACTTTTTGAACTTTATGATTTATCCTTTTTAAAACATTTAATCCCATTATTGCAGACACTGAGAGGATTAGAATCTTAAAATCTTGTAAATTGCTGCATCTTGGGACCTTAAAACATATTTATGAAAAAGTAGGTCACTGTGACCTACTTTTTGAATTTTGCAGGCATATGTTTTCATATTGTTTAAAAGGCATATTTTGATTACCTTCAGACCTACGATCATCAAACTTGGTCAGCAGATGCATCTTGGGACTTTGAAAAATGTTGACTAAAATGTAGGTCACGGTGACCTACTTTTGACATTTTATGGCTTTATTTAAGTATCTCCGGTACTTATTGGCTAAGAATCATCAAACTTTGTGAGTTGATGCATCTTGGGTTTTCGGCGAGTGACGACCAAAAAGTAGGTCACGGTGACCTACTTTTGACATTTTATAGCTTTATTTAAGTATCTTAGGTACTTATAAGCTTAGAATCATCAAACTTTGTGAGTTGATGCATCTTGGGTTTTCGGAGAGTGACGACCAAAAAGTAGGTCATGGTGACCTACTTTTGACATTTTATAGCTTTATTTAAGTATCTTAGGTATTTATAAGCTTAGAATCATCAAACTTTGTGGGTTGATGCATCTTGGGTTTTCAGAGAGTGATGACCAAAAAGTAGGTCATGGTGACCTACTTTTGAATATCTCGGATACATATTGGCTGAGAATCATCAAACTTTGTCAGTTGATGTATTTTGGGCTTTCCAAAATCGCCTACTAAAAATTAGGTCACAGTGACCTACTTTTAACATTTTATGGCTATAATTAAGTATCTCCAGTACTTATTGGCTTGGAATAATCAAACTTTGTCAGTTGATGCATTTTGGTTTTTCCAAGAATGTAGATGAAAAAGTAGGTCAAAGTGACTTACTTTTGACTATCTCACATACTTATTGGCTTAGAATCTTCAATCTTTGTTTATAAATGCATCTTGTGTCCTCAGAAAACTTCAATCTTAAAGTAGGTCATTGTGACCTACTTATGTTTTTTTTTTATAGCTTTATTAAAATATCTTCAGTTATAATTGGCTAAGAATCATCAAACTTTGTCAGTTGATGCAACTTGGCTCTTAGAATACTTAGGGTTAGAGGCTTCAAATAGAAGTGATAGGTTGTACAATTTATCAGAAGAGCGATTCAAGGCCCTTGGGCCTCTTGTATTTAAACTTAAAAGGTTTAATGTTCATGTACGTTATTCTTTTCGTACAATCACGTAATATTTAGTACACAAAGTAAAGAAAAATAAAAACAGCAACAACAACACCCATCATTCCTAAACCCCCCCCCCCACCTAAGAAAACGGAATATGACCATTTATTTCGCATTTTTTAAAAATGTAATGTTTTTATTAAGTTTTTTACATGTCATGCGTGGCTTTTTTCATCTACTGACAGAAAACTTTATATTTTTGAATTTTGAAAAAATGCTGATTGCCTAAATACTCAGTAGTCTTTTGATTTCATCAGAAGTCCTAAAAAGATGTAAGAAATCCCTCGTTGTTTCTGTGGTTGGTTAAAGATAGCGTATATAGTACTGTTTCTTCTATCTCTATTACAATTTTTAGAATTAATATTTGACAATTAATTCTTGGAGCAAAACTGACAACTCTTTCTCAAAAGAAAAAAATATCAAAAAAGCTTTCTTATGACAGAATAAACCATGAGTTGTCCAGCAAAAGCTTTAGTGGATTGCTTTTAAGGTTCCGTTTGATTCATATCTTCCTTTCTGGTATGTCTTTTCAAAAGAAAACTTTTAAGTACTGTAAGCAGTGAGCTGACAAAATATGATACCCCCGCTCATAAAGGGTCATAGTAACAGAGTCTAATTTTTGGCAGTATGTACATGTAAATGAATAAATGCGTAAAAAATATGTATCCCTTAGTTTGAATAATGACAAAAGTCTATGTTTTTGCTGTAGAAAACACTATATATATTTCCGAAGGAAACATGAAAAAGTTTCTGAAAAGTGTTGGACAGTCTTTAAGATGAAATACTTTAATCAGTTTTCTCTTTCTGTTTCATACTTGCGTTAATCTGTATTGTTTATAAAGCAGAAAGGCAATATCCAGTCATGCAAGATACCTCGTTCAAATAAGAATGTGAAAGAAAAGTGACATCTTTGTCCTTTACGTATTTTTTTTAATTGAAAAAAAGGAAATGACTTTCAAATGCTAATTAATTTACATTCAAACTGAATAATAGCGTTATATTATTAATAATAGAAGCCAATTTAATATATTTAACAATATTTTGATCGATTGAGTCCTTGTCTTAGACATGATGGGATTCTATAATCCGTTTCCAGTTACACAAAACATTTTAGATCAAGTAGAATACAAGACTTAGTGTGAGGATGTCTTTAAAAAGTGCGGTTTATTTGATCAGAAATTATTGTCTTATGTATCTTTCTAACACTTAAGTAAACATTCGTTATTAATATTGTATGAAATAATTGTACTGAATATATTTTGTTGAAATTAACGCAGTTTCTATAATAAAACATAAGATTTGTTTTTTTTAACAGAAGGGGGGGGGATAATATTCCTGATTAATTTTGCATTGTCAATTTAGATACCTGTAGCTTTCCTTTGACACACAAATTAGTATTTCTTTAAATATCAATAATTAATCTTTGAAAAAGAACATTATCAGCAAGTAAAATAAACGACTTATATACCCCCCCCCCCTCTTTTCACTTTAATCGCAAGTTTAAAAAAAATTTGACTTGGGAAAACTCTACGACCGGGCGAAAATGTATGAGGAGGAATGTCTCTTTTATAAAATATAACTTTCAGCCGTAGGGTATGCCGGTCCATTAAACTCGAAAACTAAGCATCTTTTTCTAGGATTGTCACTCCACTAATAAGACCGACGACATCAAAAAATATGAACTCAGTGCTTAAATGACTAATTGTGGCTTTGTTGTTCTTAAGAAGAATTTTTAAAAAAAAGATTTTTCCTATATATTCCTAATCATCCCTCGATAAAGGATTTTAAGGTCTGGACATTTAATTTAAAAAAAAACATAACACGTTTATTAATGTTTAACTTATTTCAGATGAGTTTAATATATGTACAACTTTGATCCCCTTCTTTAATCTGGTACTACCCTACCCTTGGGGGTCATGATTTTAACAAACTGGAATCTTCGCTACCCAAGGATGCTTCCATATCAATATGAACAATCATGGCGTTGTTGTTCTTGAGAAGAATTTAAAAAAAAAATCCTGTTTTTCTATGTAAAACTTTGATCGTCCATTGTGGCCCCACCCTTCCCCTGGGGGTCATCTTTTGAACAAACATGAATTTACACTACCTGAGAATTATTCAATTTGAGTTTCATCTTTCCTGGTCCAGTGATTCTTGAGAAGAAAAATTTTAAAGGATGCCATTAATTTTTCACTTACATGTTTGCGTAATTATCTCCCCTTTGAAAAGGGTGTGGCCCTTTATTTGAAAAACCTTGAATTTTTGTCACCCGGGAATACTTAGTGGCAAGTTCGATGGAAATTGCACCAATGGTTTTTGAGAAGAGAAATGTAAAAAAACGTTTACGGACAGATAGATGGACGCTGGACAAAATGTGATCAAATTTTTTTTTTCAATTTGGTGACATTAATGAATCGGTTTTAATGATTTTATGTCAATTATTACAGCCGTATGTAATCCAGCTTGTCAAAATGAGGGTGTCTGCGTGAGTCCAAATACATGTCGCTGTCCACCAGGCCGATACACGGGCCCCAACTGCAATATACGTAAGTCAGTTATCCATTCCTGATGTGGAATGCTTTTATTTGGAAAAAGATCTCTTATACAATGTACTGGAACTAAAAATTTTGCTCAACTTTTATCCAGTAGAGCTGTATTTCAATTTTCTACGCTTTAAACAATAAAATCGTAATATTAGTTGACATTTCAATGAATACGAGGGTCATTTAAAAAAATTGTAGACTTTTGTCTTAACTTTTTTATTTAACCTCATATCATATCCAAATTTCGTACACATAACTTAACAACAAATTCGAATAATTTGAATAAAAAAATTGGAACCTAATTATAATCAAATGCAATATTCTCCATCAGCAATGATCTGATGCAATAACTTTAGTTGACCTATTTGTTCCGCAGGTCAACGATAAGACCATATAACATTCCATATATACGTATTTACTATTTTGTTAAATTAGAAAAATAAGATTATATATGTATTTTTCAAAACATAATCCAGATTTTAATTTTATTTCGTTTTAATACATAAAACATTTTTTCTTGCATTATCATTTTAGCAAATGATACATTTGTTATAAATATATTCAACGATTTCTTGATAGTAAAAACGTAACAAAGGGAAGTAATCAAAAGTTGAACCCGCTTTTGATTGGTTAGTTTGGATCTTGAATTTCGAAACTCGAATTTTGAATCTCGAATTTCGAATATCGTATTTCGAATCTTGAATCTCGAATGAGCCTTCTGGGCTTTCGTAATACTGCGCTAACTTGCGGTATTCAATTTGTCGGCACGGCCAGTTGTGTTATAAGACCGACGACATCAAAAACTTTGAACTCAATGCTTAAATGACTAATTGTGGCTTTGTTGTTCTTGAGAAGAATTTTTTTAAAAAGATTTTTCCTATATGTTCCTAATCATCCCCCGATAAAGGATTTTAAGGTTTGGACATTTAATCTTTAAAAAAAACATATCATGTTATTAATTTTTAACTTTTTTCAGATGAGTTTAATATATGTACAACTTTGATCCCCTTCTTTAATCTGGTACTACCCTACCCTTGGGGGTCATGGTTTTAACAAACTGGAATCTTCGCTATCCAAGGATGCTTCCATATCAATATGAACAATCATGGCGTTGTTGTTCTTGAGAAGAAGATCTTTTTTAAAAAAAATTCCTATGTATTCCTATGTAAAACTTTGATCGTCCATTGTGGCCCCACCCTTCCCCTGGGGGTCATCTTTTGAACAAACATGAATTTACACTACCTGAGAATTATTCAATTTGAGTTTCATCTTTCTTGGTCCAGTGGTTCTTGAGAAGAAAAATTTTAAAGGATGCCATTAATTTTTCACTTATATGTTTGCGTAATTATCTCCCCTTTGAAAAGGGTGTGACCCTTTATTTAAAAAACTTGAATTTTTTTCACCCGGGAATACTTAGTGGCAAGTTCGATGGAAATTGCACCAATGGTTTTTGAGAAGAGAAATGTAAAAAAACGTTTACGCACAGATAGATGGACGCTGGACAAAATGTGATCAAATTTTTTTTTTCAATTTGGTGACATTACTGTACTCAATGAATCGGTTTTAATGATTTTATGTCAATTATTACAGCCGTATGTAATCCAGCTTGTCAAAATGAGGGTGTCTGCGTGAGTCCAAATACATGTCGCTGTCCACCAGGCCGATACACGGGCCCCAACTGCAATATACGTAAGTCAGTTATCCATTCCTGATGTGGAATGCTTTTATTTGGAAAAAGATCTCTTATACAATGTACTGGAACTAAAAATTTTGCTCAACTTTTATCCAGTAGAGCTGTATTTCAATTTTCTACGCTTTAAACAATAAAATCGTAATATTAGTTGACATTTCAATGAATACGAGGGTCATTTAAAAAAATTGTAGACTTTTGTCTTAACTTTTTTATTTAACCTCATATCATATCCAAATTTCGTACACATAACTTAACAACAAATTCGAATAATTTGAATAAAAAAATTGGAACCTAATTATAATCAAATGCAATATTCTCCATCAGCAATGATCTGATGCAATAACTTTAGTTGACCTATTTGTTCCGCAGGTCAACGATAAGACCATATAACATTCCATATATACGTATTTACTATTTTGTTAAATTAGAAAAATAAGATTATATATGTATTTTTCAAAACATAATCCAGATTTTAATTTTATTTCGTTTTAATACATAAAACATTTTTTCTTGCATTATCATTTTAGCAAATGATACATTTGTTATAAATATATTCAACGATTTCTTGATAGTAAAAACGTAACAAAGGGAAGTAATCAAAAGTTGAACCCGCTTTTGATTGGTTAGTTTGGATCTTGAATTTCGAAACTCGAATTTTGAATCTCGAATTTCGAATATCGTATTTCGAAACTTGAATCTCGAATGAGCCTTCTGGGCTTTCGTAATACTGCGCTAACTTGCGGTATTCAATTTGTCGGCACGGCCAGTTGTGTTATAAGACCGACGACATCAAAAACTTTGAACTCAATGCTTAAATGACTAATTGTGGCTTTGTTGTTCTTGAGAAGAATTTTTTTAAAAAGATTTTTCCTATATGTTCCTAATCATCCCCCGATAAAGGATTTTAAGGTTTGGACATTTAATCTTTAAAAAAAACATATCATGTTATTAATTTTTAACTTTTTTCAGATGAGTTTAATATATGTACAACTTTGATCCCCTTCTTTAATCTGGTACTACCCTACCCTTGGGGGTCATGGTTTTAACAAACTGGAATCTTCGCTATCCAAGGATGCTTCCATATCAATATGAACAATCATGGCGTTGTTGTTCTTGAGAAGAAGATCTTTTTTAAAAAAAATTCCTATGTATTCCTATGTAAAACTTTGATCGTCCATTGTGGCCCCACCCTTCCCCTGGGGGTCATCTTTTGAACAAACATGAATTTACACTACCTGAGAATTATTCAATTTGAGTTTCATCTTTCTTGGTCCAGTGGTTCTTAAGAAGAAAAATTTTAAAGGATGCCATTAATTTTTCACTTATATGTTTGCGTAATTATCTCCCCTTTGAAAAGGGTGTGACCCTTTATTTAAAAAACTTGAATTTTTTTCACCCGGGAATACTTAGTGGCAAGTTCGATGGAAATTGCACCAATGGTTTTTGAGAAGAGAAATGTAAAAAAACGTTTACGCACAGATAGATGGACGCTGGACAAAATGTGATCAAATTTTTTTTTCAATTTGGTGACATTACTGTACTCAATGAATCGGTTTTAATGATTTTATGTCAATTATTACAGCCGTATGTAATCCAGCTTGTCAAAATGAGGGTGTCTGCGTGAGTCCAAATACATGTCGCTGTCCACCAGGCCGATACACGGGCCCCAACTGCAATATACGTAAGTCAGTTATCCATTCCTGATGTGGAATGCTTTTATTTGGAAAAAGATCTCTTATACAATGTACTGGAACTAAAAATTTTGCTCAACTTTTATCCAGTAGAGCTGTATTTCAATTTTCTACGCTTTAAACAATAAAATCATAATATTAGTTGACATTTCAATGAATACGAGGGTCATTTAAAAAAATTGTAGACTTTTGTTTTAACTTTTTTAAGTAACCTCATATCATATCCAAATTTCGTACACATAACTTAACAACAAATTCGAATAATTTGAATAAAAAAATTGGAACATATCTTCATATTTATAAAAATTATGAAAAATTTAGAACAGCAAAAATGGGATCATGGAGCAACGCCAAATTCGACTAATTTACTAATTTTCACTTTATAGTATCTACAGCCATGCCTCTAATAAATGGAACTGAAACGATATAAAATTTACATGTTTAAATTAAGTCTTGCTGAATTACTTAAGATCCTATTAGGCAATGTAATATATTGCTCCATTTATATATATAATATATATATAAAGCACTAAAAATGACCAACGACACGAACAATAAAAATTGTCAAATTTTCGGGACGCCCTGTCCCTTCCTCAGGACAAAGAAAAAAGTTAAAAAGTCATAAGAACAAAGGAAAAAGAGAAACAAAAACAACTAGCACTACTACTAAACTACTAAACACTAGATATTTACATACTTAATTACATGTTGAATTGGAAATTTTTAAGAACACTAATAAAGAAAGAAATCCGGACCGCTATGAAATGCGTCCGGTCTATCGGGTATACTCGGGTGAAGTGCGATTTACATAATTGAACGAATTAATTATGCTAATTAATTACGACAGTCAGTAAATCGTACATTGTTTCATTCTCTCAATATGGCGTAACTATACTTGATAAAGAGTAATCAAAGAAAAATAATACAGCAGGGATATTTTAAAATATGAATCATGATCTATTATAAATTTTGAAATATTATAGGACTTTAAAGAAATTTTTAAGAACACTATAATTAAAGAAATAAATCCGGACCGCTATGAAATACGTCCGGTCTATCGGGTATACTCGGGTAAAGACGGCTTTCCGGTTCGAACTGAATGAATATTGGTCAACTTTTGCGAGATCTCACTTGGAATAAAAACTGTTGACGTTTCAACTGAGCACTAGCTAGCACGTTTACTGCGGGCATTTTCCCGTAACGACAGAAATCCACGTGGCTTGTTTTGATTCTCGAAGGTCATAAAGAGGTTAATCGCATGTAAATGAAGACAGCGAAGAGGTTCAAAATCACAATACTTTTAGTTAGAAAAATAGAGCACAAGGTTGTTCAACAAAGATATTTTTACTCAACCTTTACACATATAATATACACATCAAACTCGACTCTTTAACATGTACTCGGTGTTTACGAAAGCTTTAAAGTGTGTACCTGTCAGTGATTTCTTTTGATATTCACGAAAATCAAAGGACCCTAACTTCAGCACGCAGCTTCGTATACTGTGTATATCTATTATTTGACATTTTTAGATGATGACTCAAATAATAAAGACATGATCAGTTAGTAATAAAATTTAATTTTTAAGGTTTTTGAAAAATGTTCGAAATTTGACGAGTAACCGTGGACCACAGATAAGCCTTATTTAAGACTTGTCCTTTATAAGGAACATAAAGCATCAAAGAATTAAGAATTTTTGAAATTTTTTGTCTGATACGTTCATTATTTGCCAAATTATAATAAAATAAAAACGACATTATATGATCACCTGGCACCGTCGCCATCCAGTTTTTTGACGTCTGTCAGCGTCATGGTTTTTCAATGTCTCCTTCTTCTACCTCATACACTTATTTTGATGAGATTCCCTGGAGCCGAGTAAGGACTTCAATCCATCTTGTTGATATGACTTTACAATGTCATGAACAGCGGCTTTCAATGCACATAATCTTGAAAATGGATTCATTCATTAGGAGAGGTACTCGCTTGATTGTGCCAGCATGTTTTGCCTTTTGAAATTAATTTCTACATCACATGATCATCGTCATTTTTTGACGTGATTGATTTTTCACACCTTGGCTACAAATCGACATTAACTGTGCATCCCTTTTCTCTGTGAATCTCTTTTGGCATTAAAAAAACAAGTACTCTGGATACATGTTATATCTCCGTATCCCGATGAAACATTTCCTAGGTCTAAACCAGTTTTTTCAGGGGCAAAACCTTATAGAATGTTGGAAAAGGAAACCACTCCCCCTTTTGACGTCATTTTCAAGGCTTTGTTTGTCTAAGCAGTCCATGAAAAATTTGCGATAACTTCTAATAGAACTTCCAGAATGAGATAAGAATTCCATATTTTATGGAACAATAGTGTCCTATTACATACCTGAATTAACGGGATTTAAGGATGTCAATTATTCATATCAAAAGAGTTAGTTACACTGAGGTCGAAAAATCTTCGTGTTCGAGGTTGCGCCGACTGGACATACCAGTTCTTACAAAAACATTACTAATTTATTTAAAAATAACATTTATGATGTATGGTTTATACTATAGATAGAAAAGATTTTACACGCTCTGCTTTTGCAGCTGCTTCGAAGCAGAGCTGCAAAAGCAGAGCATGTAAACAAGAGTTTTGCACTGCAGGCATGTAAGCAGACAGAATAGAACTTGCTCTTTTTCAGTCTGCAAAGCAGACGTAACTGACCATTCTGATATGAAACTATATGGATTTAAAGTGAGAGCAGGCAAGGTTAGCAGCTGGTGTTGTTACATTATCTTGCTAATTTTGTTATAAGAGTTATTGCCCTTTGATTGATTGATTTTACATACACTATTGTTTGAGTATGCGCAAGGCGCCACTTGTGATTTCCGTTCTACAGAATACAGAGTCAGAAAACGTGCTCGTCATTTTCACTGCATCTTTGCATTCAGAAAACATAACATGGTGTCAGAATTTACAGAAGTCTCGTAAAAATGGATCTTACAGGCATACCTATGCCATGTATGGATTGGACCTCGACAAATTTGGTCGACAGCTGGAAAAAATTCCAACAGCACGTGCAACTTATATTTGATGGCCCATTGAAAGAGAAAGATGAGACTGTTAAGATAAGTTATTTACTTATTTGGGTAGGCGACAAAGGTCGTGATGTGTATAATACGTGGACTCTGACTAACGACGACAAGAAAAAAGCTCAACACTTACTACAAGCGTTTTAGGGCGTATGTGCAGCCTAGCTCAACCCTGTGTTTAGCAGATTCAAGTTCAATAACGAGGTTCAAAGGTCAGCAGTCGATTGAGCAGTTTGTCACCAGACTCCGTTTGTTAGCTAAAGACTGTCAGTATCACGATGCAGACGAGATGATCCGTGATAGGATTGTGTTTGGGACAAATTCCGCCAAGATTCGCGAAAAGCTTATAAATGAAGGTGACAAGCTTACTCTGGATAAAGCCATCCAAATCGCCCAGAACCACGAATACTCACAGGAGCAGCTTAAGTCGATGGGTACCACGTCACAGGAAGTTCACGCGGTTACATCGAACACGATCCCCGCCAGGAAATCGTGATTCCCACAAGACTTCCAAAACCGGCCATAGCACCAGTCAACCTGAACTGGAAACGGTATAGTGACGCAGCCGCAAGCCATGCATCCAGTAAACCTGTATGTCCGAACTGTGGATACAAACATACTAAAAAGGAGAAAGTGCCCTGCGTACGGGAAAACCTGCAAGCTTTGCATTAAACGTAAACCACTTCGCTAAAGTTTGTCGTAGCAAGAAAGTTCATGAAGTTCGCGAGCAGCACAACTGGAGCAGAATATCCTTTATACAGTCACAGCTCTAATGACAATTTTACTGATTTGTTTGTTGATTGTATCAGTGTAGTTCATGTCTTAAGAAATCCTGATGTGTCATATGAACAAAATCAAGCATTTACACATGTTACAATAGGTCCAAATAATGTACCTGTCAAATGTAAGCTCGACACTGGCTCACAAGTTAATGTTATACCAGTATCTACTTATAAACAACTAGGTGTTGCTGATCAATTGAGTCCGTCATCTGATTTGTCTGGTTATGATTATGGGTCACCAGTTAAGACACTGGGTTCTTGTAAAGTAGCTGTTAAGGTTGGGAACAAGATATTTTACACACAGTTTCATGTTGTTTGACCTGACAGTAGACATGCCCCCACCTATCCTCGGACTTTCATCATGTATGAATATGGGACTTGTTAGGTTTGTTAATTCCTTGACATTAAAGTCCACTTAAACAGCACCTGATTTCAGACAGTGTACTAGACAGAGAGACTGTTTTGACACATTTTAAGGATATATCTTTGAAGGGTTAGGGTTATTCCCAGGGGAATGTACTATTCATGTAGATTCCGATGCTATACCTGCTGTCCACCCCCCTCGTAGAATACCACAGACTTTGGGTGACAGGGTAAAAACTGAGTTAGACAGGATGGAGAAGTTACAGGTCATTGCTAAGGTCGACACCCCCACACATTGGGTAAACTCCATGGTTGTTGTCGAGAAGCCATCTGGAGCTTTACGAATCTGCCTTGACCCCAGGGATGAAACAAGGTCATTCATCGACCCCATTACCCCTTGAAAACTCTCAATGACATTTTACCGGAGGTATCTGGTGCACGTTATTTCACCAAGCTTGGTGCGCGCTCAGGTTATTAGACTATTAAGCTTGATGACGACTCAAGCTATCTTACTACTTTCAATACTCCCTATGGTAGGTATCGCTTCCTCAGATTACCCTTTGGCCTGAATCTGTGCAGGACTGAATTTCAGCGCAAGATTGACTACTGTTATGCAGGTCTCGAAAGGTGTTGTTGCTATAGTCGATGACATTCTTGTCTATGGGAAGACCCGTGCTGAGCACGATAGCAATTTGAAAGCCGCTCTTCAGCGCACAAGAGAAATGGGCATTAAGCTCAATGATGAGAAGCTCGATGTAGGTCAGACACAA